GTGATTTCCAGTTTTTCACAGCCGTCTTGGGAAGAATAATTTTGTAGACTTTAAGGTTTCCATTTATAGACAATGGCTTATGTAATGAGGTCTCGCATTTCACGTTCGCATTTTAAGAATAAATGTTCTGAGTCACGATATTCAAACCACATTTCTCAGCCCAGATCCGTATCACTTAGGGCTGTGACGTCCCCATTGTTTCCTTATTGACTCTTCTAAGAAAATGACAAAGCAAGTATTGTCGGGAAGTTTTGAAGCATAAGCAAGGAGCATTTGAAGTCTTTATATCTGGTGCAAGCAAATATTTAAGGACAAATCCTTAATCCATTCTCAGTCTTGCAGAAATGCCACTGAAGTTTCTCAACTGATTGACTGACCAATTTAGAAAGGAATCACCATGATTTTACACCGAGTGTTTCTTATTTCTATCAACACAATTAATTATTTGCTTTCCTCATGGGCCCAAATAGATTTTTTTTAAATGGGAAAATTTTCTTCTTGTTCTGAAACTGTTTTTCTTTTGTCTCTCAAGAATAGAGCTATTTTGATAATGCAAGGGAAGAAAGTAACATTAAAATTGTACTGCAGTGTCACCAATTTAATAAATATTAAAACTGGCTAGTTTGGGGTGTTTTTGCATAAGATTGATTATTCTTGCATATGATCCTGTAAAATCTTAACGTGAAATTGCTATAATATTAATGAATAGGATAGAACAGGACACGACAGAATAAGGAATAGAAGAGAAGAGAAGAGAATAAGGAATAGAATAGAATAGAATAGAATAGAATAGAATAGAATAGAATAGAATAGAATAAGGAATAGAATAGAATAGAATAAGGAATAGAATAGAATAGAATAGAATAGAATAGAATAGAATAGAATAGAATAGAATAAGGAATAGAATAGAATAGAATAGAATAGAATAGAATAGAATAGAATAGAATAGAATAGAATAGAATAAGGAATAGAATAGAATAAGGAATAGAATAGAATAGAATTGCAAAGCTTTGAAATACCGTGTTTACTTATGTTGCAACATGCCAATGTACCAGGATTACATCTATGGCCGTTTAATGGAAAGGAAGGTTTTTCAGTAAAATATGAAACGTGGTCTGGGGAACAGTCAATTAAACGGTGGGCCTATGCTCCAATGTGCAAAATAACTTTGTAACAGAAAGCAAATCTGATGTCTAATCATTTTAGAGTCATTACATTCTCACCAAGAGTCCAAGTGCAACTGTGTCTTGAATTCCATTGACCCTTATTTGGCATCAACTTAGTACTGAACTTCAGTTGACTAGATACTTGTCTAGGCTTCAGCAATAAAACTTTTGACTTAACATATGATCCTGATCCTTTGTGCCTGACAGAATTTCTCAGAATTCTCCATCGATTTTACTACTCATTTACCGCATAGTACTAGAGGTGTGCTAGTGAATTCGCCACTCTCCTGGTAAGCCATAATAAAAATCAGATCTCAGATTCAGGAAATAGTACGTGACAATCCTTGATTAATGGCCACAATTGAACCAAAACTTTCTGTTGCTAAATGAGGCATTTGTTAAGCGAGCTTTGCCCCATTTTATGATTGTGTGATTCTAAGTGTGAAAAACAGTCCTAGGCCACTTTTTTTCATTGCTGTTGTTACTTTGAATGGAAGGCTGCTATCATGTCCCCCCTCGTCCTTCTCTTCATTAAACTAGACATACCCAATTCCAGCAACCGTTCCTTATATGTTTTAGCCTCCAATCCCCTAATCATCTTTGTTGCTGTTCTCTGTACTCTTTCTAGAGTCTCAGCATCTTTTTTACATCGTGGTGACCAAAACTGGATGCAGTATTCCAAGTGTGGCCTTACCAAGGCATTGTAAAGTGGTATTAATACTTCACATGATCTTGATTCTATCCCTCTGTTAATGCAGCCCAGCACCATGTTGGCCTTTTTGGCAGCTGCAGCACACGGCTGGCTCATGTTTAAGTGATTGTCCACTAGGACTCTGAGATCCGTCTCACTGTTGGAGGCCACCCTTGAAAGCCAAATAGGGTTGTCCCTGATTAATATTTGGATGGGGAACCCATCAGGAAAACCTAAGGTTGTTAGCTAGATCAAGATCAAAACATTCCAGAAGGGCCTAACCCCTTTTTTTCAAATACCTTAGTTGTGGGTGCTCCATCACTGGAGGCTTTCAAGTAGAGACTGGACAGCCATCTGTCTGAAATGGTATAGGGTCTCCTGCTTGAGCAGGGGGTTGGACTAAAAGACCTCCAAGGTCCCTTCCAGGTCTATTCAGATTGATTGATATTAATCACAAAGCAAGTATTGTCGGGAGGTTTTAAACCATAAGCAAGGAATATTCTGGCTCTTTACATTTGGTTCAAGCAAATATTTAAGGATAAAGTCTTAAGCCCTTCCCAGTTTGCAGAAATGTCTCGAAAGATTCTCAACTGACTGACTGACAGATTTAGAAAGGAATCACCAGCGATTTTACATCAAATGTTTCTCATTTCCATCAACACAATTAATTATTTGCTTCCCTTGTGGGCCCAGATAGATTTTCTTCTTGATCTGAGACTGTTTCGCTTTGTCTGTTGAGAATAGAGCTATTTTAATAACGCAATGGGAAAAAAAGTAAAATTAAAATGGCACTGCAGTGTCACAGATTTAACAAAAATTAAAAAATGGCTACTCTTTGCATACGATCCTGCAATATTCTAAGGTGAAATTGCTATAATATTGTTGATGGATGGATCGATTTGTATCCCCCCCTTATTATTTTTACAAATACCTTGAGGTGGTGTGAACATAACCAATACACCTTCCTACTCCTATTTTCCTCACAACAACCTTATGAGGTAGGGTGGGCTGAAAGAGAGGGGCTGGCCAAAAGTCACCCAGCTGTCTTTCATAGCTAAGGCTGTACTAGAACTCATATCTCGTGGTTTCCAACCTGGAGCCTTAATCACTAGACCAAACTGGTTCTCAAATCAAATTATGATTGGTTTTTTTTCCTCGTAGTGGTGATAAGTTAATGGTTGAAAAATTTGTCCCTCCTGATCTTGTTCAGTTCTGAGTCAAGATTTAGATAATGCAGCAGAAAACCTAAGTCTCGTGCAATATTCTTAACAATCTTCTGTTTAAAATATGGTTTTTTTATTATTAGCACCACTGTATCACATTAGAAATTACGTTATACTGATGCTCCTTTAAGGGATTTCTCTGGAAACAGTTCTCTACGTTTGGTTGCATATTGTTCATAAACAATGTCCTTTAGAAGGTAACTGTCCTAACAGTTTGCAAATTAATTTTGTGGAATTGAGCCGTTAGATATCGCAGTATAATGTCCTAGAAATTTGATAGTGATGTCATAACGTGTGAAATCTACTGATCAGGATAAAAGATGGAGGCGGTCCTTTTAGGATGGGGATTTTATGGCCAGGCTTACTGTCTTACTGAATCAGTAAGGGAAAAGACTGAAGGAAGAATGGGAAAGGATTCAAGAATTGCTGTATGCATAAGTAGCTGATGAGAGGGTCTGGATTTTAGATTTCAAGAATGAGAAAGGGAGATTGCGTAAAAAGAACAGGACCGATCCATTCTCTATTTTTATTAATCTAAAGCACATCAACATCAAATAGAATTCAGTAAAACTATAATATGTTTGGATTATCACAATTAATGATCTCTTTTTGGGGGGGGGGCAGTGTCCTTTCCTTATTTGTTTCCCCCCCCCCAATTTGATAATCTTTAAACCAAGCCTGTATTTCTTTCAGCCCTGCTATTCATTGGAAGGTTTAACAAAAGGGCAAACATTAATCAGGAACACTCTGGCATTGCGATCAAGATCAAACAACAACTCTTAGAGACAATGTCTGTAATTTTTCCAAAGAGGAAATGATCATCAGTCATTTGTGATCTGACTTTGTTATGGATTTGATAATTGTATTCCGATTTAATTGCTAGTTCTGGCTTGGTTAGTCATTCGGTTTGGAGAACTTTTGTGAACCTGTCTCATTTTTATTCTCATCAAAAATTTGCCACTGAAAATTGGTCATTTCTCTGCCAAAATTCAACATTTGATTTTTTTTTTTATCCATTTCCTGGAACTTTGTAGAGGCAGCGAGAGATGAACTTTCTTTCTTTCTTTCTTTCTTTCTTTCTTTCTTTCTTTCTTTCTTTCTTTCTTTCTTTCTTTCTTTCTTTCTTTCTTGGAAAAATATATACCAGCATAAGAAAGCCTCTTTTATCAAAAAATCAGACGGTTGGGATTAAAGATGAATGTTAAGATAGAAATATATGTTATTTTAGAATAAGTATTGTATATAAAACTTAGATGTATATGTAGAGATGAAGAATTGATTGTAAAAAGTGGAACAATCTGATAAGAATATATATACTGGAATGTCACGTCAAATCCAATGTTTGTTACTTTTTAACTGTATTATAAATAAAATTTGTAAAAAAAGAAAAAAGAATCAAATCAGACTTTATTTAGTCCACGGCCGATTGATTGTTGATCACATCTTCCTGCTATATTTGGTTCCATTTTGTAACACGATGCTGGTCATTAAAATAACTTCGAGATCAATTTTATTTTCCCCCCCATCTTGATGGATATTTTGGAGGGTTAAAAAAAAAGTGGGCAAAGCAACGGGGAAATAACTAGAAGGGTTTTTATGTGGATGCTTTCCATGTCTGCAAACTGTGAATCAGACAGGAGGATTACCCATTAAGAAATGTATTAGAAATTTGTTTGACCACTCTATTGGTCAGAGTACAAACATCCCCCCCCCAATAGTACTATTTGGGCTCCTTTTAAAATGAAAAAGGTATTTCCAAACCCCATCATCCTCTGGAAAGGATTTTGCATTAAAAGCCATAAATAGTCCTGATAAGATGGTTGCTAAAGTGTTAAAAGGCAGTTAAGTGATATTGGTTTGATGGAATATATCATCACGGACAGTAGATACAATATATTTAACCAATAAAACACAAATAAATACTACATGAAGCGGACAGTTTAATATGTGATTATCTAAACATGACAATTGCCAATGCATTATTTATTAGCTGCGTTGTCACAAACATTTCTCATAAACACACCCAGCCTCCAAAGTGCACCCAAGCTGAATTAAATTACACAAAATTGCTCCGATGCTTGTTTGTCTGTTTGACCGTTGCTCGAGTCAATCTTGTAAAGCCTTGTGATACCTCGCTGGTCATTTTGCTCGTGTTCTGAAGTTATAGGCGAACACCGTGGATTTTGGAAATCTGTTTTTTGCTAGCCTGACAAGTTTAGAGGAGGATGGTTGGATTAAAACTCACAGACGATTAATCGAATTATATTGCAGTCCACATCATTCCACTGGCCATCCAGGTATAACTCTATACAATCCTCTTGTTCTCCGTTAGGTTCGCCTTTTGCCCACCGTGAGTATTGCATTTGGTCCCCGTTGAGGTGCTTAAAACTACCTTCTCTCTCCCGGTCAGTCATCCCAAGAAAAGCATGTTTTCCAAGTTTTGACGCCAGTTTTGCTAAGGCGGCGTTTTCTTCCCCGTTTCTCGGAGACGCGAGCTGCCCCCCAAACCTGGAGCAGGTGGCTTTGGCAGTGTCATAATTGGCTTCGGCTCCGTTAGATGCAATTTTTTTGTTTCTTATTACGGTGAAGTTTGGGAAAGCAGCCTGTAGAAAATCTAGGAAAAAACAACAATAACCCAAAGATAAATTCTTTCTCAGCTGTTTTTCGAGGGCGAGAAATCCATTTTAGGAGCCATCCTGATCTTGACATCAAACGAACTGAAGTATCATCAGGAAGTATCAGAATAAAGTTTTCCTTTTTTTGAAAATTTTTCTTTTTTTTTTTCAATTTTTTTTTATTTTTAACCAACAAAACAAAACAAAACAAAGCAAAACACAACACACATACACACACAGTATATACTCCTCTCCCTTTTTTTTTACAGCGATTGCGTAATGGTAATCTTCTATTATTTACATTTCCTCCCTTATTCTTCTTTAGAATATTTGTCCTTATTGCTCCGTTGTTTCTTATTTACATTTTTCTTCCTTCATATTCTACTTCTTACTAAGAATAATTCATATTATTATTATTATACATTATTATACACATATTTTCACTTTTCATTGGTTTTCTATTTTCACATTTAAATATTTGAAAAGCAACATGGCAGCTGAGTTGGTCAATAATTCAGTAACATACAAATATCTTTAGTACAGATCTCAAATGATTGCCTTCAATATTTCCTCTCTTTTCCCCTTAGTATTCAGTCTCGCGTTTAAATTCATACAATTCTTACTATATCGATTAGATAAAAATAACTTTCTTACATTTATCAACAATTTGTTGATACATGTCCTAGTTGTTTTAACATTCAATCTTTTTAGACAATCAACGTCCTGGTTCGTTTTTCCCCAATTTTTTAATTTACCCTTAATATTTAAATTTAACATTTAGTATTTATGATTTCCAAGTTTTAATTCATCCCAATTCCCTTTATCACCATTCATCACCAGACCTAATATTCAGGATACACGTCTTATCTATTTGAATTCTCACCATCTTACATCAGCCAATTAATAGTACAATGTAATATTCTTGTTTTCTGATAATTTCCAAATATCTTTAATTAAATAAACAAAATTTCTCTCATTTCAACATTTAATACTTTCTCCAGAGGAAAGTATTTTTTATAGAGGAGACTATTTGGGAAGACCTTGTTGCCCTCTGAGCGTGGTTGTTTTCTCACAGATGTTTCATTACCAAGCTAGGTAACATCATCACTACATGATGATGTTACCATGTTGGCAATGAAACATCTGCAAGAAAACAACCAAGCTTAGCACCAAGGACCCCCCAAAAGTATTCATGAAAGTCTTTGTAAGTATTCCCAAAGAGATGATTCTGTCTTACCTGCATGGTTCTTACTTGTCGTCGCCTTAACAACCTGCAGCTCTACTTGTAAATCACGAATCTGGGTTTTAAGAACTTCAACCTCTAAAGGATATGAAAAGAGAAAATTATTCTTCACTGCTGTCCGAAGCAAAATAGTTTAAAAAAAAACCAAAACACCTCTGAAAGCCTGGCTTTTTGACTTTGCTTCTAAGATCCTTTGAAAGTTTTATACGTAAAACTTGTGCTTTCCATGGAACGTTGACACAGTTGTACAATTTGGATAGCCAGATGTGCGGCAGGAGAAAAGCCAAAAATCAGGAGGAATCTGATCAACTCATTTCTGATGAACCAATTACACCAAAAGGCGTAAGCCTTCGTGAGTTCAGCGAAGCTCATGCCCTTTAATAAAGGTGTCAATCTGAAATGATGCTACCAGGCTCTTGCTGCAAATGTCAGAAATCCTGATGTTTTGTTACGTACTGCTCCATAAATTTGTGCCCCGTGTGCCATTCGTACACTGGAGTGTTTCCTTGTAGTTGTTTACCTAAAGCTGGATATCTCAAAACAACAACAACAAAAAAAACCATGCATGAAAGAATAAAAAACCAACATCCTGAAAGACAAAAAACAGAAGCCCTAAAGCAGTGGTTCTCAACCTTTTTAATGCCGCGACCCCCAACCGGTCGTAAGTCGAGGACTACTCAACTGGTCATAAGTCGAGGACTACTCAATTGGGGCAGCACCATTTGCAGAATGGGACTTTTGGCGGGCTCAGCAGGGCAGAGACAGCCTGGACAATTCCTACTGGCTGTTGAAAGCCAATAAAATTAGACTCTATTCAAGAGAGTCTATTCTATTGGCTTTCAAAAACCAATAGAATAAAAGGGAGTAGCACAGCTAAGGAAAAGGGGGAAAAAATGGCGGACTGCGTTGTTTGGCGACCCCCATGAAATGGTCGTTCGACCCCAAATGGGGTCCCGACCCACAGGTTGAGAACCACTGCCCTAAAGCAATACTCTTCAAGAACAACAATTACTGGGCTCCAATCTCATTTGATCCCAATTCTTGAGAAGGGCGCTTTTTATGGCCTTAATAGAGTGCTAGGATGATTCATCCATCCAGTCAACTGATCTACCAAAGGCTTATTTGATTAATCTATCCATATAAAAGACAAATAGAGGGGACACATGAAGTTTAAGCAGGCCAAAAATAATGGATAATAAGAAGAGCGACGGTGTCTTTATTTGAGTAAAGGTTCAGTTACTGCCTGGTGATAACTGAACATTTTTCACCAGGCAAAATGAAGAGAGGAAAGAATCATTGTATATCCTTTTACTACTCCACATTAAAAAAACCAAAAAAGGATTTGTAAAATCTTCAGCTCCGTGCCATGTCTTATCTTTACCTGCACTGTCTCCTTTTTCTCCTTTCAGCCCTTGATCCCCTTTCAGCCCTTGTTCTCCATTTGAGCCAGGAGGTCCAGCTTTTCCTGGAGGTCCCTGTATTCCTTTGAAACCTGCCAATTAAATAAGGAAAATGCACAAAAAGATAGGTGAAGAAACTGATGACCGTGGTTAATAAGAGCCACAAGATCAGAAGCATTGAAAGAGTTGCGCTAAACATATTGTGCAGGAAACGTGGAACCATCGCCACGTTTGAGAAATAAAGTTGGAAGGGACCTTGGAGGTCTTCTAGTCCAGCCCCTTGCTCAAGCAGAAACCCTATGCCGTTCCAGACAAATGGCTGTCGATTCTCTTTTTGGAAATCTCCCGTGATGGAGCACCCATGACTTCTGAAGGCAAGCTGTTCCACTGATTAATGTTTCTCACTGTCAGGAAATTTTTACTTAGTTCTAGATTGGATCTCTCCTTGATGACTTTCCATCCATTACTTCTTGTCCTGCCATCGTTTGTTTTGGAGAATAGGTCAACCCTGTCTTTTCTGTGACAGTTCCTCAAATATTGCAGGACTGCTATCGTGGCATCCTAGTCCTTCTCTTTGTTAGACTACGAGAAACAAGGGTTGGAAGCTGATCAAAGAGAGAAGCAACCTGGAATTAAGGAGAAACTTCCTGACAGTGAGGACAATCAACCAGTGGAACAGTTTACCACCAGAAATTGTGGGCACTCCATCACTGGAGGTTTTCAAAAAGAGAGTGGACAATCACCTTTCTGAGATGGTATAGGTCCTCCTGCTTGAGCAGGGGGCTCGATCTCCAAGGTCCCTTCCAGCTTCTATTCTATTCTATTCTATTCTATTCTATTCTGTTCTGTTCTGTTCTGTTCTGTTCTATTCTATTCCATATTTTTATTCTATTCTATTCCATTCCTATTCCATTTTGCATTCTATTCTATTCTATTCTATTCTATTCTATTCTATTCTATTCTATTCTATTCTATTCTATTCTGTATTTTTATTCTATTCTATTCCATTCCTATTCCATTTTGCATTCTATTCTATTCTATTCTATTCTATTCTATTCTATTCTATTCTATTCTATTCTATTCTATTCTATTCTATTCTGTATTTCTATTCTATTCTATTCTATTCTATTCTATTCTATTCTATTCTATTCTATTCCATTCCATTCCATTCCGTATTTTTATTCTATTCTATTCAACTCCTATTCCATTCTGCATTCTATTCTATTCTATTCTATTCTATTCTATTCTATTCTATTCTATTCTATTCTATTCTATTCTATTCTATTCTATTCTATTCTATTCTACTCTACTCTACTCTACTCTACTCCACATATCTACTTCCCTCAATTGTTCACCATATATAATGTCAACCATCCATTGGTGGTACACACAAAAGCTCTTCTCTATGGGAGAAAAATGAATGTAAACTCTCTCTGATGAAAAACGCCAGAGTTTTTATAGCCTTTACTTCCTCCTACATGATGTATAATTTACCACTGAACAATGACTCTGGCCTTAATGTTTATGCTCAACATAGATCTAAGAAAATCTAAAGAATTGTTTATACTGTACCTGAATCTCCTTTTGGCCCTGGAGGACCTTCCGCCCCGTCTCTCCCTGGTAAGCCATTGCTCCCTGGGGTCCCTGGTAATCCATTAATGCCAGCAACCACAGAGCAGATGTTAACTTTCTCTTCACATCTGCACATTTCAGAATGTTGCGGTTTCACCAGTGACACTCCCAGCATCAGGATGTAGAAAGCGTGAAGGTGCATATCTTAAGAATGAGACTTAAAGAGGGGGAAAATAGTACATATTTTGTTTTCCTTTTGTTTGTGGTAAATAACATTCTGATTGTCAATGCTGCTAACATCGGATGTTCTTGCTTTGACAACATATGGAGATGCAGCCATTTTCCTTCTTATATTTTACTCTTAGAATTAGAGTTAGAATTAGATGATACCGGGGCAGGGGGTGAGGAGGAATGTGCATGGGAGTTTAGTTAGACATAACAATACTGTAACTAGGGTGAGAACCAAGGTTTTTGAAATAAGAGATGATAAGAAATGGCGGGTTGAAGAACTGGAGGGAAAGCCTGCATTTCAAACTAATTGGAGAATGTGATTTAGGACTGTTAATTAGAGGAGGAAATTAGATACAATGTGCTCAGGGGAGGGGAATTCAGATTTTGTCTTTGCCTATGTACGTGCGGATGCTAAGCTACTTGAATAAAGATTCTTCAAGGTAAACAATGCCTCGAAGTTCTTTGAAGAGTGTCATCTGTTGGAACCATGACACTGATATTTTGTGGTGGGTCAGATGGTGGAACAAGGATTGGATGGCTTTTTTTTTCTCTTTTCCATTGATCAATTGGGGGAAACCATTGACTGGGTGATGATGTTCCCCTATTCTTTCCTGTGTTTTGAGGTCATCAGAAGCAAAGAGGATTGCAGCTTCTTTTCATATTATGTGAGGGATTGAAGAATAGAAATTGCCTTAATGCCTACTCAAGCAATACTATTATATCACCTATACCTATTAGCTATACCTGTCACCAACTAGGATTACAGGAATCATCCTAACGCTTCCTACAACATTTGTGATTCATATATTCTATATCACAGGATATTTATATTGTATATTATGATTCATTGCACCATCAGCCAGATGTTCAGACTTCAATATTTTTATCCATCTATTGAGTCCTTCTCAAAGACCTGGGATAGGAAGGCGTGGATGTTTTATGGTATTACAGATATCATTGCAGGATAAAACTGATCCACATCAAGCTGCCTTTTGCAATTGACTGATGATAAATTTGTCAATGCCAATGATGTTCAAGGAATCTCCAGATGGTTTGGGATTGCCTATCGCTATTTGTACTATCTTTTACCACAGTTGTTTTAGTTCTTTTTACAAGTCTTTGTATTTTGTTTATCTTTTCCAGTGTTTTCCTCTTCTATGCTGCTGTCTCCAGGTACTGCCACATCCACTATCCAGAATTTTTTTTCTTTCTTATCAACTATTGATACATCTGGGGTGCTTTGTGGCAGGTGCCTGTCTGTCTGAATTCTGAAGTCCTATTACTGTTATTGTGGTTATTAAATTTACAGTATTTGCTGCCTATCTTGCACTCTGGCTACTCTAGGTGGTTCACGACCATAAAAAAAAAAAAGAAAGAGAAATTGAAAAGAAGTTAAAACAATGCAAAAGTGAAATAATGGTGTCTAATAATCTCTAGTTTAACGAAGAGAAGGACGAGGGGGGACATGATAGCCAATGTTCCAATATCTTAGGGGCTGCCACAAAGAAGAGGGAGTCAAGCTATTTTCCAAAGCACCTGAAGGCAGGACAAGAAACAACAATTATTACTTTAATTTAATTATTAATTTAATAATTTAATTTCAAGCTAATCTCCAAAGCACCTGAAGGCAGGACAAGAAGCAACAGATGGAAACTCATCAAGGAGAGAAGCAACCTAGAACTAAGGAGAAACTTCCTGACAGTGAGAACAATTAACCAGTGGAACAACCTGCCTCCAGAAACGGTGAATGCTCCAACACTGGAAGTTTTTAAGAAGAAACTGGACAGCCATTTGTCCAAAATGGTATAGGGTTTCCTGCCTGAGCAGGGGGTTGGACTAGATGACCTCCAAGATTCCTTCCAACTTTATCATCATTATTACTATTACTAATGAAACAATAAATTAAAAAAAGGAAAAAGAAAACAAAGAAAATATCCATAGGACTAGTAAAAAATATGTACGTTGATGGTATATCATTTTTTTTTTAAAAAAAAAAGGATGTGGGAGAGCAAGATTGTGAGAATCATCTCCACCCCACATTATTCAGTAGACACTCTTTAAAATATCCATTTTAGATCAAGCCTTACCTCACCCAGAAATGGCAGGCTTTCTGTTATGTAGAACAATCCCTAAATAACTTCTTTGTCATCCAAAATTGACTATTTGAAAATCAAGCGGTGGTTTATGTTAAATCAGAAGAAGCTGCTGTGGACTTTCTATGAGGAGCTGTGGTGGTGCAGTATTAAAATGCAATATCGCAGACAAACTCTGCCCAATGCCAGCAGTTCGATCCTGACAGGGCTCAAGGTTGCCTTCCAGCCAGTTCATCTCTCTCTCTCTCTCTCTCTCTCTCTCTCTCTCTCGCTCTCTCTCTCTCTCTCTCTCTCTTCTATCTATCTATCTATCTATCTATCTATCTATCTATCTATCTATCTATCTATCTATCTATCTATCTATCTATCTATCTAAAATTTTCTTATAGTAGACAGGTGCCAGATCAACCTTGTCAGGTAAACAGAATTGTAGAAGTTCATAAATTGTGGACCTGTTTTGGTGGAGGAGGAGGCTGATTATTATTCTTGAAATATATTGATCAACTGAGGGGGGGGGCAATCTATGTATGTGTTTTTCTTCCTATGCACTTTTTAAATGTCTTGTTTAGTTTTGCTCTGTCCTTATATGCCTTTTTTTCTTTCATTTTGGAGATTGCATTTTAAGGTGGGAAATATAATAATAATAATAACAATAATAATAATAACAACAACAACAACAACAACAATAATCTATATATAAATAAAAATGTAAATGTTCATTTGTTCAAAATCTTACATCTCTGAAAGTTCTTCACCGATTACTTTGAAATTTTGACACAACGTTGCATTCGAATACACATGTGTTTTTATATATCTATATTATATAGATGTCATACCTGTGACAGGTAAAACATGCTTTTTTGAAAAACAGTGCCATCTGTTGGATGTAATCTCTATATCTGCACACACAATGGAACAACAAAAAATATTGTATACCCACAAGCATTGTGAAATTAAACATATTACAAACATGCGCTTTCTCTTTTCTTTCTTTTCCATTTAACCACACTGAGCCATAGCAACGCATGGGTGGGTACAGCTAATAATAATAATAATAATAATAATAATAATAATAATAATAATAATAATAATAATAATAATAATATAATAATATAATAATAATAGGAATAGAAATAAGAAAATCAAGGAAAGGGACAAGTGCCTATCCTTAACATGCATCATCCCATAGCAGTGTAACAATCCAGAAGACCCTGTTTTTTTCTACTAGAGAACAAGAACCAAAAAAAAATCTGTCCTTGTTTCAGGGTAAACAATTAAGCAAGCTGTATAAATAGTTTGCATGTGCAAATATCTGATTTCTTCAATAGCTGCCGGACTAGTTAATCATCAGTGTCTTTCTGGAAACAAAATGGAATAACCTCCCCTCCTTTAAAAGAAAATATTTATCAGGTCAGCTTAAATCAAGGTGGAGGAAAAACTGAGCTTGCATATTTTTTAGACATGACACACTTAAAGCCTTTTCCTGGAGGCAAATGATATTAATTAGGTTAATCTATCAGGCATTAGGTAGCAGATCACCAAAGGCACACAATCTAATAACAGCAATTACTGGTATCTCCTCATGAAATTGTACGGGAGCTACAGTTGTTGAATCATCAACTCTTTCCACCTTTGAGCCTATGGACTACTCAAGGTAGCATAAAAAAAAAAATCAAATTTGTCTCTTGGAGCATTTTTTTTTCCTTTACCCTGCTTTCTCTATTCTTTCCTCTTTTCTGCTGGGGTAAATAAATAGTCACATGGCCTGCAATGATTTTCAACGACATACCAAGTGATGCTGCATTATTTGGCCTTAGTGTTTCCAATTTGATTTATTTCAGCTTGCTGCTTCACATTTCCTTTAGTTTATTTTAATTCATGCTTATAACGGGTTTCCTGCGTAACTCAAGATTTAATAAATCTCGTTAATGCTGATTTTACTGCTATCGTAGCATCAAAATTGATCCTTCAGAGTAGCAAGTATTCCAGAACAGCCCAACTTAACACAGGTTCTATCAAAGCTGAAATGTGTTGCCCTTGTAATCTATATAATACAGAATTGTTTACTTATCAAATAATTTGTAAAATCATTTTTGTTATGCGACTAGTTTAATGCAGAAGCTAGATATTTAGCCCATCATCAGTTCATACCTGCCGCTTAGCCTAAAACGTTTCAGACTGCCGCTGTTTATCAGACTTGACTGCACCTCAGATGCCAATTTGCTCCTTCTATGTTTGCTTTCTTTTAAAGAAGAGTATCTGATACTTTTGAGAATTGCTACAAAGGGACTGCATTTTGGGAATCATAAACCTTTCACACCTTGTGTCCACTCTGAATAAAAATAGGAAATGTCCGATTTCAGAAACAGTGTATTTGGCAAAAGCATTTCACATATACAGTAAGCAGCCCTTGGTGCTCTCTAAGCTTGCTTGTTTTCTTGCAGACCTTTCCTGGCCCAAACTAAGCAACATCATCAGTGCTAGAAGGGAGCGGGGTTTGTGAGGAGGAGGAGGAGGAGGAGGAGGAGGAGGAGGAGGAGGAGGAGGAGGAGGAGGAGGAGGAGGAGGAGGAGGAGGAGGAGGAGGAGGAGGAAAGACTGTGGGTCCTTGGTGCTCTCTGAGCTTGATTGTTTTCTTGCAGATGTTTCATTACCCAACTAGGGAACATCATCAGTGCTAGAAGGGAGTGGAATTTGCACAGAGGAGGAGGAGGAGGAGGAGAGGAGGAGGAGGGAGGAGGAGGAGGAGGAGGAGGAGGAGGAGGAGGAGAAGGAGGAGAACTATAGAGTTTTGGTTATTTTCTTGCAGACATTTCATTACACAAACCAGTCTGGCACTGATGATGTTCCCTAGTTTGGATAATGAAACATTTGCAAGCTCAGAGAGCACCAAGGACTCCTCATTTCGACCCTGAGTTAAAATTTTACAAACAAATAAAATTTTATATAAAAAAATAAAATAAAATCCTTTATTCATTTCATCTATTCCTTGCGGTGGCATGCTTCCTTTCCCCTCACTGTCTCCTTGTCCTCTTTCGCTCACCTAGATTTCCCTTTCCATCGAAAATAATTTAAGATCCTGCTTCAGAAATCACCCGAAAACAGATTAAGTAATCAAAGGTTTCTTAAGCAATTTCGATACTGAAAAATAATTACTTACACAGCGCTGAAAGAAACCAACTCTTTGCGTACGCGTTTCTCGGGCAGTGGTTTTGCAAAATCTGATCCTTTCACTAATCATTGTCTAATCTAAAACAACAGGGGAAAAAATATTTATTTGTTGTCTGATTTCACCCAGTTTCTACCTGTTGCGGGAATTCCAGTGGAATTCGCTCTTTAATCCCAATTCGGTGCAAATGTGTCGCAACGATTCACAGCAGAAGAGAAAAAAAAACAGATGAAGCAAGAGTTATCCTGGGGAACTACATATTCTTTTTTTCCCTTTTTTTTAAAGGGACCAACTTTGCTTTAAACAAAAAAGAACATCTGTGCGTTGCAAAATGTTACAACACAGGATAGGGCAGAACAAATCGGAAAGAATTTAGTCAGGAAACTGGCAAAAAGCTATGCTGCAGAGAAGATAAAAAAAGAAACGAGTGCAAGACAAGTTGAAAATAAGATATGAGACAATCGCTCTAAGCCAGTGGTTCTCAACCTTTTTAATGCCGCGACTCCCAACCGGTCGTAAGTCGAGGACTACTCAACCGGTCGTAAGTCGAGGACTACTCAACTGGTGCAGCACCGTTTGTAGAGTGGGACTTTTTGTAGCGTGGGACTTTTGGCAGGCTCAGCAGGGCAGAGACAGCCTGGACAATTCCTATTGGCTTTTGAAAGCCAATAGAATTAGACTCTATTCAAGAGAGTCTAATTCTATTGGCTTTCAAAAGCCAATAGAATAAAAGGGAGTAGCACAGCTAAGGAAAAGGGGAAAAAAAATGGTGGACTGCGTTGTTTGGCAACCCCCGTGAAATGGTCGTTTGACCCCAAATGGGGTCCCGACCCACAGGTTGAGCACCACTTCTCTAAGCACTGGACCAAATCCACGGATCTGGTATCTATAAATTACCAAAAATGCACCATTTTATACACTTTTTTTGGGGGGGGGGGTCCCATGGGATGGGGAAAAAATTACAATTTTATTTCACTAGCTTCTAAATTAAACTTAGTTTTTTGTTCAGTCCTAAATGTAGGCACTTTTGCTTTTCAAAACTCATTTTGTCAAATCAATATTATTTAAAAGCACCATAAAGAACAAACAAAGGGGGGGGGAAATGGAAGAGCAAAACAGATATTTATTTATGTATGTTATTTTTTGTTTTTATCAATAATCCAAGGCTGTTAACACACACAATATTCTTTCCTGAGGGCTCTTGGTGCTTCTCTGAGCTTGCTTGTTTTCTTTCAGACGCTTCTTAACCCAACTAGGTAACATCATCAGTGGCAGTAAGGAGTGGTGTTTGCTGTCAATTTATATTCTGGTGTCTTGCCTGTATGTGTGGGTGGGTGGGGGGCAGTCTTAGGGATTCTTTGGTGGGGCTGTTTACTAAGGGCTATTTGGCATTAGTTTCTTGATTGTTGGTCTTGCTTACTTGATTATTGGTCTGAAGTTGACCTTGGAGTTAATCTATGCTGATCTGGGTGCTGATTGCTAGTGATGGAGAGGTGCTGGGGTCTTTTTGTTCCCTTTTGGGCTGATGTTGATAGTCTCTTTTGCATAGTCTGTAGATGTTGTTAAGGTCTATGTGTCTGTTGATGGCTGATGTGGTGTGGATGTGTCAAGTGAGGGTCTTGTGATGGGTCAGGTGTGGGTGTGTTAATGGAGGGTCTTGTGATGGGTCTTGTGTGGGTGTGTTAATGGAGGGCCTTGTGATGGGTCTTGTGTGGGTGTGTCAAGTGAGGGTCTTCTGATGGGTCAGGTGTCGGTGTGTTAATGGAGGATCTTGTGATGGGTCTTGTGTGGGTGTGTCAAGTGAGGGTCTTCTGATGGGTCAGGTGTGGGTGTGTTAATGGAGGGTCTTGTGATGGGTCTTGTGAGGGTGTGTCAAGTGAGGGTCTTCTGATGGGTCAGGTGTGGGTTTGTTAATGGAGGGCCTTGTGATGGGTCTTGTGTGGGTGTGTCAAGTGAGGGTCTTCTGATGGCTCAGGTGTGGGTGTGTTAATGGAGGGTCTTGTGATGGGTCTTGTGTGGGTGTGTCAAGTGAGGGTCTTATGATGGCTCAGGTGTGGGTGTGTCAAGTGAGGGTCTTGTGGTGGGTGTTGTGATGGGTCAGGTGTGGGTGTGTTAATGGAGGGTCTTGTGATGGGTCTTATGATGGATTTTGTGTGGGTGTTTCAAGTGAAGGTCTTGTGATGGGTCTTGTGATGTGTCAGCTGTGGGTGTATCAATGGAGGGTCTTGTGATGGGTCAGCTATGGGTGTGTCAGGTGAGGGTCTTGTGATGGAGCTTGTGTGGGTGTTTCAAGTGAGGGTCTTGTGATGGGTCTGGTGTGGGTGTGTCAATGGAGGGTCTTGTGATGGGTCAGCTGTGGTTGTGTCAAGTGAGGGTCTTGTGATGGGTCAGGTGTGAGTCATGTGATGAGTCTTGGGATGAGTCTTGGGATCTTCCCAACATTGTAGTACCACTTACATGGCTTTGAACTGTTCGGTGGGCAGAAGCTGGGAGAAGTAATGGGAGCTCACTCCATCCATGCAACGCTTGGGTCTCAAACCCAGGCTGTCAGCTTGCTGACAAGCTTACTGTCTTTAACCACTGAGCCATTGCGCCCCAGCTGACAAAAATGACAACATCAACCCTGGATCATTTCACGCAGCCTCACAACTGTACAAGTGCCCAACTGAGTGGAAGACGAAACTGACAGGAGAAAGCCCAACGGTTGAAAAATGACAAATATTAAAGTGGAAAAAAATCCATTCTTCAAACATTGTCCAATAAAATACGGTAGCTGAGAGCATGGAAACAGAAGGCTAGGAAGTGGTAGAAATTAATCTTTGAGGACTGAAAGCTTGTCATGCCTATTCTATGACTCCTTCCTCTTGTAAAATAATCTGCTGCTTGTCTACTCTGAAACAATTGTGCAGCAAAACCACAAACACACACATATGCACATACGCAGAGTTGAGAAAAATAGTTAAAAGGCAGAGGTTAAAAAAGCATTGATAAGAACTGCATTGGCTATTATATCACAGCTCCAGAGTGAATAAAACAGTACTGTATTTATTTAAAAAGACTGGGGAGAGGTCATCTTAAATTGGCTGGGCATCTAGTACAAGAAGAATAATTCTTTTTCTCCGTCTAATTTTCCTTTGAAGCAGGCGATTATCTTAAATTTGAGAGTATCTTCCTTTTCAGATAAATCCAGTTGTAGGAAAAAGAAATCAGGATGGACTGGTGGCTGACTTTGGGAGTTAACGGTGAAATCCAGGGTAAACAGATGCCTTTTCAAATATTTTGGATTTCAACTCTTATCCGCTTCCACTAGCATAGCTGATGGCAAAGAAATTAGGTGAGCAAGTCCAAAATATATGGAGGTCACCAGTTGCCCTTTTCTTGCTGAACTATAATAAAAATAAAGATTCTATCCATATATTATTCTGATGCTTCTCTTTTTTTATATATAAAATTTTTTTATTATTATTTTTTTCATCAACATATGTTAATTTTTCCAAACAACAAGTTGTTTGGAGTCTGCTATGCTAATACATGTTTAATTCCTAATCCTTCATTCTCTTCTCTAACCAACAATAAAATAAATTCCAAATTTGATAGTAGTCTGTATCTTCTTTATCTTTCAACCTCATAGTTAATCTGTCCATCTCTGCACATTCCAGTATTTTCCTGATTATTTCTTCCTCTGATGGCAGTCCTTCATTCTTCCAGTATTGTGCAAAAATTATTCTCGCTGCTGTAGTGATGTGTAAAATTAAATATAGTTTCTGCTTATTAGTCTTTTCAGGCATAATGCCTAGTAAAAAAAAATCAGGTTTAAAATCCACTTGTTCGCCCAATATTTTTTCTAACCACATATGTATATTTTTCCAGTAGGCCTTTGCCTTACCACACGTCCACCAAATGTGGTAATACGTGCCTATGTTATGTTTACATTTCCAACATCTATCTGACATATTTCTAAACATTTTTGCTAATCTTATTGGTGGAAGGTGCCATCTATAAAACATTTTATACAGATTTTCTTTGTATGAAGTTGACATTGTTAATTTATAGTTTCTCTCCCATAACATTTGCCATTTTTCTAATTCTATATTATAACCAAAATTTTTTGCCCATCTTATCATTGTGTTATGGTTCTGGCTAATGAAACACAATATTTGTAGCGTTGACACATTGTTTCTTTCACTTGTTCACTTTCCATATTCTGGTGCTTCTCTTTGCATGAACACAGAACCAGCAGCAGTGCTGTAGGTGCGTTTTTCAGGTGGGTCCAAATGATAGAATAACAGGGTTAGAATGGGACCTTGGAGATCTTCTAGTCGAGCCCTCTGCTCAAGCATTAATACCATTTCGGATAAACAGTTGTCCATTCGCTTCCTAAAATCTTCCAGTGATGGAGCACCCACAGCTTCGGAAGGCACACAGTTCCACTGATTAATTGTTCTAATACAGGGGTGTCAAACTGCCAGCCTGGGGGGCGGTTGCATCATGTGGAGGCCGCGCAATGCAAAAAAGGTGTGTTATGTTGTGACACGTCACTTGACGTGGTGAGTTGGAGCCCCATGCTCGAATGAATTAACTCTCTAACTTGCTGCTTATTCAGAGTGACAAAGTGAGCAATGTGATATATGCACTGCAATGCAGCGAGACAAGTACACACATCTGTACATTGGGGAACCAAAACAACCTCTTCACAAAGCCGTCAGGACAAGATTCAGTAGTCCAACTGCATTTGAAAAACAAAGGTCACCTCTTTGAAGACAGCAAAGTCCACGTTCTGGGCAGAGAGGACTGCTGGTTTGAAAGGGGGGGGTCAAAGAGGGCATCTGTGTTCAAACCAAACAGTCCTATCTCAACACTAGGGGGGGATACGACACTACGGATCTCCTATTTGCAACACAGTCCTTTCAGCAGTTCCAAGAAGGCTCCACACACATTTGCATGACTCAGTTGAACCCCCAAGTGGCTTCAATAACTCTCAGAAAGAGTATTAATGAGCAGATAACTGCAAGGCATGTAAATCCTTCCATCATCCACCGTTTGGTCAGAACTTCTTGAACGAGAAGTGAAACATCTTCAAGGAAAAAAAAAACAAAGTCCAGTTGCCTT